TACAGATTTTCAAGATGCAGGCAGCCGCGGAAAATAAGAGATGCATGGTTATTTATAGTGCCGTTAACCCTCGGGAGTTACTTTTTTCCCCATTTAAAATCTTGCACTACTTAAGATCAACGCCTACATAATCACACAAAGCATTAGCGTTTCAGGGTAGATAAAAGGGTGGATGCGATCGAGGACTATTCTCTGAAGATTTGAATTACCAGTGTAATTTTTCAAAGTAAAAAAAAGTCATTAACAAAAGCAAAACGCTTATTGTTCTTGCTGAAGAACAATTAGGGTGAATGAAATTGGATAGGCCGGCAGTGATTAGCCTTTCATTCTCCTAAGGCTGTGCATGAACTTGACTCGCTAAGGACGAGGCGGAGGGGGTGGTGGAGGGGTCGGCGGGCTCCACGCCAAACTTCCGAGGGTTAACTCATGCAAGTTTGTATGCAAAGAATTGGAAAAAACAATGCAATGCACAAGGTAGAAAGAGGTAGAGATGCAGAGCGATTCAAAACGCAGCCGCTGTACACAAGAGTGTGTGCGCACACGAGTGAGTGAGTGAGTTAGAGAGAGAGAGAGAGAAGAGGTGGTTATTATTGGCATTGTCAGTTAACAATCATTAATTAGATCATGCAGCTTTGGTTGGTAGAGACACCGCACACTCACTGCCTGCAGTAGAAGAGGAAGCGGAGGCTGTGACAGGCGGTGGAGCGGCAGCACTAGTGGCGGCAGAATTGGCGGACAAGGAGGAAGAGGAAATCGCTACATGGGCGGGGCTAGAAACAGTTTTTACGTCGTGGTGCTGGCTGACCACCGAGGGCTGCCGACGTAGGGCCCCGGGCACTGCTGTCGCGCCCGTCTGGAATGTATAAACAACGTCCATCTGCAAAGAACAGGAGAGTAAGAGGGAGACCCGCCATGGGCTGGCGGAGCACGCGTGAACAGAGAAATAACCAATCACGGTCCAGTTAGTGAGAGCGAGGGAGGAGACCTGAGAGCAGAGGGTCAGGTATGGGAGGGAGGTGGTGGGGTTGAGAAGGAACAGACATGGGCAAACACAGCTCAGGGAAGGGATGGAGGCAGGAAAAGAGGCAGGGAAGTAGTCGGCAGCACAGAAATTGGAGGACGCCATGAGGGGTTGGGGAAAGGGGGGGAATCTAAGGCTGAATTAATCAGACAAATGCTTACTTGCTTTTTTTCTCCAATACTAAGATGTTATTTTGACCCAAAATCACCTGCTAATCAATGGCTTCCATTCTGAGATTGTCAAAGCAAACCAGACATCAGCACTCAGAAAGCAAAAACATGAACTGGGTCCATTAGCATGTGTCTGGCGAGTGCTAGTGATCAACCCTTAACCTCCTTAAACTGCAGGAGATGAAATTTGTATTTACAGAGAGGTTACAGAACAAGGGAAGGAGGACACAGGTGAGAAAAGTGGGCGGAATGAGCACACAGGAGATGAAGTCATAGGACAGAGAGAACCCAGATGTTTAGAAGACAAAAACCTCTACAACAGACTCAAGAGCTCCTCCCATTTACAAGAGCTGATGAAACAAGAACCAGGAGGAAACCAATAAAAAAAGAACATCAGAGAATCAGTCTGGGAGAAACAAATGGAAAATAAAGCCAACCGCACAAGTACCAAAGGTGTACAACTGCACAACTACAATGCAGTGCTCGACAGCTTGCAAGCAGATGCCTTTTAGAAGAGGAGATATAGGGAGACTTTAACAGTGTATGGACACAATATGCTGAGCGTGGGTGTGCTACTATGCGAGAAACATTAAACTAGGCTTTTGTACGCCTAGCTATGGATGGCAGTCCATGTGCTAGTGTTTATGTGGTCTCATAAATTTTTAATCTGCAAGGAAAAGAAAAAGAATACACACTGTGCTCCAAATGTTAACCAACATTGTCGCAGCAGTGCTTTCTGTCTCAACAAAAACAATTTGCCATAACACGCCTGAAGAATATCTTGGCAATATTTTTATACTGTGATTACACATGGATTCTTCTTTTGCCTGTGCATTTTCCATCCTTAAGTTAGAGTGCAGGCAAAGAAAAAATATTCTATTAATAAACCAATAATTAGTAAGCTGGAGAACAAGTAGTTCTCATTTGTTCTCCTCAATGAAGGCTTAAGCTTGACTGTTTTATCATGCCTACCTTTAAATGTTTCACTTTGTTAGATGTTTGGCTAGCACTGATGGTATTGGGTATTGGGCAATGAGTCCAGTTGATGACAATTTCCACGAATGTTATTTACTAATTCCTTAAGTTTTAAAGACATCTACTGTATGATGTTGTATATGTACAAGATGACATCTACAGTAAAATCAATTTGTTCAGATTAACATTTTTGCTGCTAAGATAATCAGTAAATAAAATTGGAAAACATCCCTTTGCTAAATCCACAGTTTAGTTAGCAGCTGCATTAGTGCCTTCCAGTTTGATTGTCAGATGTCGGAAGATCTGCAGCAGGGACTGGCCTGCTCAGCACTAGGATGGGAGACCTTTTAGACAAATCAGGTTGCTGCTGTAAGTTGCAGTCTTGGTTGACCGGTAGGTGGCGATCTTCCTTCTCAATTAGAATGTCTCAGCATAGTGATGGGAGATGCACTGCTATAGGAGGTGCTATTTGCCTGCTATCCTGGCAAATTTCCACTCTGGGATCATACATTCTGGTCTCCCTAAAGACCCCCTTTAATTCAACTGGTAGAGTAATTTCTCACTCCTCCCCCTGGTCTGTTGTGCAGGAATGCTGCTGTATGTCACCCAGGAAGGTACTGTGCTTCCGAGGTGGGTGAATTAGGTTCCTTCCTCTGTAAAAGTGCTCTTTTATCCTTTGAAAAACTACTTTGCTTATAGTATCTACTGAACTGGACAAAACTGGTGAATTAATGAATACCATTCTTCGAAAGTAAAATGTCCAAAAATCCATTAGTTCAACAGCCTCATTAGGAGAAAAATGAAACGGGACAGGGCATCTTTCGTATATTATACACCGGTTTGCCCGATTTAAAAGAAATCTGTGAAGAGAAGATTGTGCCTCGATGTTAAAAATACCCCCACTTCCCCCATACCACACATCCGCCTGAAATTTAACTGCACAATCCATATATGGCTTAACTGCAGTTTTTGTGCTTTTCATCACAAAAAAGTGTCACCGGGGGAGGGGGGGAGAGAGAGAGATTTGCCTCCAGCTGCACTCTTATATTTTATCACTTCCTGCTAGAGACCACAAACCTCTCTTCTCTGGTCTTGGAAAACACAGGTTTGAAGGCGTATTGTGTTTATTGAAATGATTGCGCCCACAGATGTGCCATCCTGAGGTATACAAACAAATAAATAAATGAAAGGCGGATCATTCTCAGGAAATCTAAATTATGGAACATTTATATAATGCATAATAATAGGGAATGTATTCTACTGCTTTTCAAAATTCAAAAGGATACTCCTACACTGCTACCTGGAAACAAACAGCTGTGCTTTACTGGAATTTTCCATTTTTTCCTCCCAGCAAAAAAAAATATTGCACCAGAAAAATTGTGTTGTAGACAACACAAGGGAAAACGACCCTGGTCTCTACAGTTTACTTCTCACAAGGCCTTTAATCACTGTTCCTGATCAGAAACCATCCCCACCAGTTTCTCACCTCTTTTCTCTCTCATTTTACAGCCCCCCTTACTACCTCCTCAAAGAAGGAAAAATTAAAACCTAGAACTTCCTTGCCATGCTTTGTCATAGCTAGCTCCAATCCATACCTCCAGCGATTTTATTAAAAGCAAATAACAGCACAGTGCTCAAAGGTAAAAACAAATTCAGAGTACATTGTTCAATCCCCAGTAGCTAGGAGACTGCTTCCAAGTACAGTATCCTCACAAGAGAGACAGACTGGGCAAGGGGGGGAGGAGGAGGAGGGCGGCAAGTTGGGTTTGCTTGTAAACAGTAGGAAAGGAGACCAGGCAAGCACAAGCTTACAAAACCCAGACCGCTCAGCTTTGGATGGGTTTCTGTCCTAAAAAAGGAAAGGATGCTATTAAATACATTTTAATGGTCACAGTAAGTAATCAAACAAGAGAGGAAGAACATTCGTCCAACAAGCCCGTAGAGACAAAAGAACACTAAGAAATGAAAAAAAAAAATCGGGGAAAATCATCCTTCCCCACCTTGTGAAAGCCACTCTGTACGTTTTGGAAAAATGAGACAATAATTCCAAACAAACAAAACCACAACTATAAAGAGGGAAACTGTTTGAAGATTTCGGGGTTGACCTCAACCAATAAAAGGGACTTTTTCCCCTAGTGATTTTCTTTGTGGGTCAAACGCAAACAAAACTTTGTTCTTTTTTTCTCATAAACAACAGGTTTTGGCCTTGTTTATAAAACAAGAGTGTGGGCACTTGTGGTGTAGATAGTTTGGTGTTTGAAGGGTGGGCGAGAGGAAAGGAAGAGGGATCGTACAATATTTGGTTCTGGAAATTACAAAAAAACAAAAAGCAGCTCTAGCAGTAGTCACACAGCTCGGCTAGAGAGGCTTCCCTTTTACTGTCTCATCGAGAGATTCGCACCACCTCTCGGTGAAGGAAGCTTGTGAGAAAAGTCACCAGATTGGTTCATTCACAAGTCACAGCTTATTATTAGGTCTGAGACACCAAAAATAAATAACTTCCTTCAGAAAAATAAAAGGCGGTGTGCAAACACAAACCTCAAGCTCTAACATACTACATGCTGTAACTGTGACCGTGACTCTGCTAAAAAGAAACTGTCCGGAATGGGAGATAGGCGCGGCCCCCCCTAGATGAAAGATAGTGAGGAGTGAGGGACCAGAGTGTGGGAAGAGAGGAGGAGGGTGTTACTGTAGCAGAGCTCCAGGGGGCTCCTCTCACGGCAAGGACACGTGGCTGGGAGCATGTCGCCCACAGCGCCTGGGGACGGAAAGGGCTGTTAGTGCTTCCCGACGGTATTCCCTGGGGCAGGGGGGGTTTTGGGGGGGTGGCGTACCTGCGTCTGGATGCGGTTGAGGCCTCTGAACCACAGAATCTGGCCCCGGCGCAGCTCCATCTCAGCGTGGTCGATTTCATCCGCCCCTTCCGTGAACTCCTCTTCGTGGATCTCCTCCTTGGTTATGCCGTGTCCGGCCTCCTTCAGGAACTTCAGCCGGTGGGTGGGAACGGCCGAGATCAGCTAGAGGGAGGACAAGGGCGCAGTGTCACACTGCAGTCAATCCCCTACTCAGGATCTTCAAGCGGGCAAGCAGTCTTTTGGAATTACTGTGCAGGATACTAATAATGATTAGTTTTAGAGTCTTTACCCGTCGCCTTTTTTTTCTTATATTTGATGGCTTCACCTCCATTTTAAAATTGATGTCCTATTTGAGAATGAACAGTGAAACACGGACAAAGTGTGTTTAAAATCAAGAACAGGTGGCACTTCTTTACCCATAGGGTTGTGGGAGTTTGGAACAAGCTACACAACCATACTGATGAGACAGATACCTTGGCATCTTTCAAGAAGTGGCTGGGTAAGATCCTGGCAACAATTCAATACTTAACTGCTAATCAACTGAGATGAGTCAAATGTCATCTTGTTGGTAACTTACATTCTTATAGACTTTCCTCTATTTCAGACGCACAGAAGATACTTTTTTTTAGACACTCAAAAAACCACAAGCAGGCATCCCACCCCCACATCACATTACATAGGTAAGCCCCCACAGCAATGATCAATTAACAAAAGTCAAAACTGACTTCAACAAAAAAAAAACTAGCAAATCTGATGAAAATTCATTGTGTTGCAAGACTTGCAGTTCGACTGCTGGAATCAACACTACCCATGGTCCCAGTGGTGAGAATTGTGAAAGCAAAGTTACTAAAAACAGTCTACAGGTTTGGCAGCTCTGGATAGAATTGTTTCTTCACTCTTAAGTGACAAAACTGTAGTTTACAAGCTTGTTTACACAACATTCTTCTGTTTCTTCCACTTGACACAAAACTAGTCCCGTCACCTACATATGCTGAATTCGTAAAAAATTGAACAATAAAAAAATACTATAAATCTGTAAAACAAGACGAAGAGCATACCTTTTTAGAAACCTAAAACAGTACGAATTACTGGTGCATCCTGTTATTATTGCACTGCCACAGGAAATGCCAACAGTTCTTTTGGCATCTTCTCTGATCGCTCTGCTCTAGGTATTCGGGAACAGATTCTGAAAGCATCAATGGCATTTTCACCTACAAGGAGCGATACACGCTGAATACCTGCCTCAAGCGTTTACAGGCTGTTTCACTTAATTCACATCCCAGCTGTCAAAGATCTAAGTGCTGCTCTGCTCAGCAAAGGCTTTATAACCAAGAGCCCATGAGCAGGCACGTGTGCCAGGAACAGGGCACAGGCTGGTTGTGTAGTCCTGGGTGTTGTTTTCACACAGTAAGCATAAGAAGCGAATGCAGGCTGTCTTCACTGGATGATGCGTGACGAGACGCAGAGGGAGTATCTTGTGGAGGCAACGGGTCCCAGGGGAGCTCGCAAACCTGGGACAAAACGCTTTCATCCGCGCCAAGGCAGATTGGCAGAATTTGTTATGACAAAGCTCTCGATGCTGGGAGTTTTGGAAACTCTGTTCCTCTGGTCGAAGAACTTTACACAGACTGTCTCCACGCCTCAAGCCTGCAAGGCTCCAAGAATAAACTTTTTCCCCGCCCACAACCCCATTTAAAAAAAATGACAAAACTGTAAGGGCGGTAATTGCTTCTTCTGGCTTTTGCCGATATTTTATCCCTTCCATCAGGCAGCGGCAGAAAGATCCACGCACGCACAGGGCTCTGATGTACAGTGTCTAGGAAAGAATCCCAGGTGGGTGACAGCTGCAGATATTCAGGAATAAAGTTCAGGATGTATTTGAGCCAGTACCTCCTCAAGTTCTTTCCAGCCATCTGTGTGTGAGACACTACTGATGTTGCTCGTGTCCCTCAGAAACGTAGATTCTAATAATCAGGAACTCTTCTGATTCAGTGATTTAATGTGGTGGGTATTAGTTCATCCAAATGTCTTTTACAGTTATAATTCCCTTAGCACAAGCCGGTATTCAACAGTTCAGACATGAAACTGCTTACAAAACAAACTACACAGCTACAGATCAAAAATGAAAAAAGAGCAACTGCTAGCTGCATTCCCAAGCAAAGTGTAGTAATAAAGAAAACTGAAAATCAGGCTGACCTTCAGTGGGATGATATCATGTTCCCTTTGAAAAGCAATAGCCCTTTATGTACTCACAATATAATTAGGTTAGAAATTACAACAACTGTTGTAATTAATAGGAGGACTGTGTTTTGACAGGATGAATACATTCTCCAACCAGCTTTTTCCTCTCTTGTGCTCCCATTCTCTACCCATAGGTTTAAGGTCAACGGGACCTGTCCTCACCTGACCCCAGAGCAGCTCGCCCACACCGATGAAGACACACCACAGCCACTGGTCAACAGTCAGGCCGGAGCAGGAGAAGGGCTTCCCTCCAAACTGGACAATGATGATCTGAGACGGATTCAGAAAGAGGGAAGAAGCCTCAGATGTTAGGAGAGGACTCGGGGGGACCCCCCCTCCGCCGTATCCAGCTCGCTCGCTCGCTCAGAAGCGCTGCGACGAGCCAAGCTTGTTTTTCGTAAATTGGCAGTTATTTTTGGTTCTAGCCGACTTGATGACTTTTTCACGACTCGGCTCGCAGCTACGATTCCCGTAACTGCACTCAAGGGAGAGGGAGGAAGTGAGGGAGAAAATGTTACTTTTAACTTTTAAAGACCTACAAACCAAATCCCTGCAATACTTAGGAAGAAATGAGAATGCTAAGTGCGAAGCAGGGTTTATGCTCTACTGAGGCACACTTTAATACCTTCTTATAGGTACAGGTGTCTCGGGGTGCTTGCTTTCAGCTGACTTACTCCCCAGCTCTGGAACTCACTTCCTGGCACTCTGAGAAATTAACTCTTTCCCAGTTTGTAAATCTAGACTAAAGCCTTAGTTGGAGTTTTCTCTTTTCTACATTTTGTTCTATTTTCCATTTAATCTTCTGTTCCTGTTTTACTACGTAAAGTGCTCCCAAACATTGCTGGTATACATGGGCAGTCAAATCCCTCACAAATCCCTGCGAGTGCAGAAAGACTCCTCCGACTCCGCCCACCTGCAAGCCACGCCTCTTAATACATCACAGGCCAATGTTCAGCACTGATTGGGGGAGAACAGCATCCCTCACCGACAGCACTACCTGCCTGAGTGTGCCTGGGAGGCTTGAGAGTCATGAGTCCTGACTTATCTAACCCTACTGCCTCTTGAGGCACTTCAGTCACAGTCTGCTAGACAAGACCCAGGTTCAAACCCATGGTCGAACACCTGTTGCTCGGGAGAACACCTTAACTGGTTGAGCCTGCAGGGAAGCACTTTGTGAAAACATACTTAATCAAGAAAAGCTTCTAACATACTGCAGTTTTCTATCTTGTATATATAATTATACTAGTTTATTCACATTGCACACATTCTACCTCAATGGTTGAAATTACACATCACAATAATAAAAAGCAGAGAAGTCATATCAACAGTAATAAAACCACTTGTAACTTGTACATAAAACTTACAATTGCAGTAGGTGTATTAAAACACTAAAATAAAAAAAATGTAGTTCAATATGAAAAACAAAATTGATCTGACAGAATGAGACTGAAGTAGTCCAAGGCCCACTGTGCCATCAGCACCCCACCAGGGCACACTTCAGACTAGGGGCTGCAGTTTAAGTTAGATTAATGCCTGCAAATACCATTTTGTTATTCTGTATATTAACATCGATAACCCAACAGGAACTGACCTCAACAAATGACTAACTTCATGTTCATAAACATGCAGCACTCAACACCCGATCTGACTTGCACATTTAAGGATCCAGGAAGTGTTATCCTGGCACATACTTGGCAGGCAAAGGTCCCGATCACCACTGCGCAGAAGATGGGGTTGCGGTAGATGCCCTCGAAGACATTCCTCTCCCCGTGGATCTTGCGGGCATTGATCTCGTTGAACAGCTGCATCAAGACGAAGGTGTTGAAGACGATGGTGTAGTGCTCAGAGGGGGGCGCGTGCAGTGGACTGTTACGCCCGCTGTCGATGTCGAAGAACTTCTCCCCTGATTCGGAAAGAACAAGTCTTCATTCTGTGACCAAGCACTATGACACTGGTACAGTCAGGGAGGTGGAAGTTGAGTGAAGAAATGGATTCTCATATTTTGGAGCATGGTAGGTAACTTAAGAAGGAAGGTTTTGGAAGTTTCATACATACAAATGGATACATTTCTACTTTTATAAGTAAAACTCCAAGATGGTATTATAATATCATCCTCTCAAGAAATGAGTACAGTATCCTTGGAATTAGTGCGTTTTAAAATGCACAACTTGTAAACTGGTTAAAAATAGAGTTACAAACAAGCAAGAGGAACACCCTCCCAATGTGCCTGCTGTATAGTGGAATAAGGCCCCACTGGAGGTTTGGGTAGCTCATCGTACCAGCAAACAGGAGGGTGAAGATGATGGTGAGCTGGTAGACGGCATGCCCCAGAATGTTCTTCATCATGGTGCGCGAGATGAGGGGCTTGTTGCGGCCGTAGGGTCTGCGGAGCAGCAGGGACTCCGTGGGCGGCTCAGTGGCCAGGGCCAGGGAGGCGAAGGTGTCCATGATCAGGTTCACCCACAGCATCTGCACGGCTTTCAGAGGGGAGTCCTGGGGGAGCAGCGGGATGCAGAGAGTGAGAGAGCACCAGGGCTAGGCTAGAAATCCAGGGCAGCAGAAGAGTCTTAAACCCACCAAAACTGGACTGGAGTGTCTCGGCCGAGTGTCTCAGAGGACAAGCAAGGCAGAGGCTGTGAACCATGTGGCTTGACACAGCTTGTGGAGCAGTACGCTTGTTTAAAAGTCAAACATGCATAAAGAAGCCAGCTACCCTGCCGACTCGTCACCTCTGCGTGATGGCAGAGATGCTGCATCGTAAAATAGCCCCGGCTAAATCCACTAAGCTAGAACTCTAGATTTCCCCCCAAATCCCTCGAAACCAGACAGACTTTAACACACCTTGTGCTTGGCCGTTCCACCACCTGCACCTGCAGCACACACAGAAGTGTGCAGGCCGGTCTGCAGCGAGATCGTACCTGAGTGATGCAGGCACCGGTGAAGGCCACAATCACGGCCACCACGTTGACGGTCAGCTGGAACTGCAGAAACTTGGAGATGCTGTCGTAGACGTTGCGGCCCCACATCACCGCCTTCACGATGCTGGTGAAGTTGTCGTCGGTCAGGATGATGTCAGAGGCCTCCTTTGCCACGTCTGTCCCAGCGATACCCTGGAGGCACAAGGGAAGCAGGTTAGCTTTCTCTCAACCACTGCTCCTGTGGCTCCCCCTTCATTCCAGCTCCAGCCCACTTCATTGACCTTCACAACTCCCTTGTTACATCTTTAATTAGATTACAAAAAGGCTTAATTAGCTAATCATCAATAGAATGACAGTGACCTAAGAACTACAGAGCAATGCTGGGGTTACATGAACCACAATAAAGCAGAACTGCCTGAAGTGTTGAGGACCATTAGTTTGGAAATACAGGATTAATGGAGAGCAGGTTCAGTTTTATAGGAAATCTATTATTTTCTGATGCTCACCTTTGAAGCATGCAATGGCTAATATGTTTTGGCCCATTGCATCAGTGATTTAGCCATTTAGAACAGCAACATGAGAACCCCTAAGTTACATTCCCATCTCACTGTACAATCGACTTAGTGGATGAACCAAATTAAGTCAAAGGTTCAAGGTACAAATATTTAAGAAAGATGAAACTTTGTGAAATGTTATACAAATAAAACAAAACTCCAAGCCCAGTAATGGCCAGTGTTGCTCCAGTGGGGAGATGCCAGCCATTATCCCAGGCAGTCAAAGTCACAAACAAAGGACACATCTTGAGGGTACTGCTGGTACACAGATTGAATTTAAAAAAAATCAGATTTGGGTCCTAACCCTGGAGCATTCCGCCTTCAGAATCATTCATTTTCCCTTAAGTGCCTTTCACATTCATGATGGCAAGGTGGTCAAAGAAAATGGGAAGAAAAATCCCCAATAATGCAATCTCTATTGCTGCCATCACACAGCCCAATTTGGTCAAGCTTATTTCTTCTGCCTTCCGTTGCAGAGGCAGCCACATGCTGCGTGCCAACCTTTACCGAATAATGACAACACAAAAACAGCCCAGGCCTGCGGGTGAGCCTTAAATTCGAAAAAGAACAACCCCAGCGTGTTCACTGGCTCCAGCCTTCATGTGCCTCTGAGTCACACTGTTCACAGAAAACAGTCTCCAGATTCCACTGCAGGAACAGCAGGCTTCCTAATTTATGTTAGCAAGACAATGGAGCTGGCAGCAGCCTCTGACACCAATCATTAAAAGTTTGAGAATTTATTGGGGGTACTTTCTTGGCATCTTCCTTGTAAAGCCTTTTTTACTTTGGCTTACGTCTAAAAATAGTAAACATGATAGAAGGTTTTGTTTAAAAAAATGCACAGAAATACTTGCAAACATGCACAGCATCCATAGTGCAGGGTGGAAACACAAATCCCTAGCGAAGGAGGTGGGTACACATTGCGTATGGCTTATTTCAGAGACCACGATTTTTCATGCAGCTATGTAGTGCGAGTCATTTTAAGACAGATTAAATGATTTTATTAGCTTTAAGACCTAAAAAGCAGACACCTCAATACTGGGGTCGTTCCCATCCTCTCTCTGCATTACTGGGGGGGTTTAACCCCCTTAATTGTGCAACAAATAAAAAAAACAGTGGAGAAAAGGGCAGTGGCACATTGTAAACATGAGAGGTTTGTGGGCAAGAAGAATATTAAAGAAGCACTCAGCAGCTGAAAGGCTTTGGAACAACTGAGGTTATAAAGAGAGTCCGGCAGGCAAGTACGAAACGCCTCGGCAAAAGTTAGGCTTGGTTACCATGGCGAAGCCAACGTCCGCCTTCTTGAGGGCAGGGCCATCATTGGTTCCATCTCCAGTCACGGCCACCACTTGTCTCGTGTCCCCAACCGTGCTGTCAATAATCCCTGCAGGGAGACAAACACACTGAGCATGCCCGGAAACCTGGTCTACGGTATATGACACAACTGGGTCCATACCACTAGACTTGCTGAATGGTAAAGAGAAAAATGGGCATCACGCCCTTTCTGAAAATATTTTTTTTAAACAGAAAATTATTTGGATTGATTATACAGTGACTTCCACTTTTTAAAATATATTTCTGCATACCCAGCTTACCTCGACGCAATTGCAAATTCTTTGCCAAACGTTTCAAGGCTCGATTTAAATGCTACATCCCACACTCCGTTTAGGGACAAAGAGGAGGTGCAGACATGCTCCATCAACACGCCACCTCTTCACACGGCCATTCGTCACTTGCCATGCTGTGAGCTCCCTAGCGCTTTACAGGACGGGTAGAGCCACTCCGAGGAGCAATGGATTTTGCGCCAGCATCACTGCAAGCGTGTGGCAGGTGTCAGGGGCTGCCCTTGGGCTGAATCCGAGACCACCCTGGCCACCTTGCCCTGCCCTTGTGGCACCAAGCAATCTTCCTCTGTCTGACGATTCCTGGGTAGAGGCGGCTAATGACACAGCCCAGGCTGGAACCAGAGATGTCTGGACTATAGGGCTTAACTTGTGCACTGAGCTTGGCCACTAAAGAGCTGCCTTTCTTATTTCTTCAATCACAGGATTACATTTGTTCCTACTTTTTATTGCAGCAGTAAGCTGCTCTTTATCCACATAGAGCCCATCCAATCCACTCCATGTTGGCGTTTTAATAATACTGATTATATTGATCCGGCCAACGATCAATTCCGTAATTGAGATGCTATTGCACTGAAGGCTCCCTGGAGGAACACTTCAGTGGAGTGGATGTTCAGGGCCAAAACTCCAAGAGAGGAGCAAGATGAGTGCTGGAGACGAAGCCATCTGACTACCCTGCCCGCCCACAAAGAACACGTAACATTATCAACACACCTGTCCCCTGCCTGCTCCCTCTTCAGAGGATCTGACTGGAAGCTTAAAGAAAAGAACAAGCCCCCGGGGCTTTGAAGGAAGCCTGGCCCCTGTGGGCATGTGAGGACATTAGAGGCAGCTCATTTAAAAAGGACGAGGAAGAAAAAAGGTGCTAGAAACCCTGCAATGTGGAAGGTCATAAGCCACAGATCAGTTTAACGTGCTGCGTGAAACCTGGTCCCATGAGCTTAATCAAGAAACGAGAAAACCACAAATTAGCTTGTGCATCACTGGAAAATAAGGACAAGCCAGTCGGCTGTGCAGCCGTTTCCATCTCAATGGATGTGGGAATATTTTCACCTTAAAACATAAAATTAAATAATATAATTACTTCAGGTGGGTAGCTGCATCAGCATGCGTAGTCTGCAAAGGAACAAGTAATAGGTTTATTCCATGCTGAAAAGAGAAGAGAGAAAACGCAACGTTTCGGCTGTGAAGCCTTCTTCAGGTGTGAGGAAGAAGCTCATACCTGAAGAAGGCTTCACAGCCAGAACGTTGCGTTTTCTCTCTTCTCTTTTCAGCATGAAATAAACCTATTACTTGTTCCTAATACTAATTACATGGAGTTTTTACTCTGTCACAGATTCACTTTTAGATTAAAATGCTGCTAATAAAGTATTTTCTCATTTAAAGCAGCAGGCTTTGATGGTCCTCGTGTCAGAAAAATGATTGACCAAAACCAACATTTCCAAATGCAATTAATCCATTTAGATTCTTACTCCATTCACAAAAAATACTTTCAGGAATCAGGGCCTTCTTTTTGTCATTCTGCTGTGACTTAAGAGTTTTTTGTTTTACCAAACTGCTCTGCTGCAATACGAGGCCTTACCTTTCACCAGCGTGTGCTTGTCTGTCGGGGACGAGCGAGCCAACACGCGCAGCTTCGGCCAGACCTTGTCCAGGCGCTCCTGCTCGACCTAGAGAGGTGAAGACAAGGTGGATGGGTGTGTGTGTGTGTTGGGGGGAGAGGGGGAAGTCAAATGAACCCAGTGCTGGATTTGATCTACAATGATGGTATGCTCAAGGACAGCCCAACTCCCTCTTTCCAGCTTCTTTGTAACCCAGCTCCTTGTTGAAGGAGAGCTGGTACTTAGTTAAACCGCATGCACAATTTGAGCTTTTTTTAATGTGTAATGCTGAAGATTTCCCCAGGTTCGCATATTCTGGGTTCAGTATCAATCAGCCTACGTTGCTGAGGGTTACTGGCTGTATGTGTTGGGCTTTAGAATAAATCTGGCTCATGGGAGTAAGTCTAAAGTAGTCTATTTCATGTGCACTGAAGCGTGTGATGTACAAAGTACTTTGGGAAGGGGTTTCGTTCAGGTGATGTGCAGTCAGAAAAATACCTTAAAGCACTTTCTGGAGTGGTCTTGAAAGATCCTAAAGTACCTTAAAGATAGGATGAGCCTTCATCCACCTCTGAAGTACAGCAGTACATTATCCCTCAGACCAGGTGGAGAAGATGACAATTCTAAAGCAGGAAATGTGTGTAGGCTGGATTAGGGAAAGCCAGAAAAGGAATTTAGCTAGAACACTGAGGGACCTGGGACCTTTAATGATGACCAGAGGTCGGGATTTTAGTTTACTGACTCATTAAAAAAACAGCGCCTCCTACAGCAGTGCCCCCTTTTACCATACTGGGACATTGGTCTGTAAACTCTAATCCAGAGGGAAGAGTGCCACCTAGTGCTCCACCAACACTTACAGCAGTAACCTAGCTTTCATCGGGGTCAGGCATCCCCATATAGTCCAAGTCCAGGAACTAGCCCTGCTTATCTCCTGAGATTCGATAAGCCCATGAAGAGTGAAATCAATGCTCATGATAGGGGGTGTAAAGGGTAGGGGTGTAACCCCAGCGTCCTGGCCAAATTTCCCATTGGCCCTTACCAGCCATGGCCTCCTAATAATCCCCATCTATAAACTGGCTTCATCACTCTTTTCTCCTCCCCTTTGATAGCAGATGTGTGGTGAACATTCTGCCACACTATGGCTGCTGTCGCATCATCCAGGTGGTGTTGGAGGGGAGTCCCCATTAGCTGTAGAGCACTGAGTGGAGTGTCCAGAAAAGTGCTATATAAGTGTAAGTAATTATAAATGATGATGATGATGATGATGATGTGGAAAGGGCTTGAGTGTGCTGCATGCTGAAGGTGTGAGGGTCACCCTGCCCTCCTCACCTCTCCTTTGTCGTTGCGGATCAGCTGGTTGAACTCTTTACCCTCCAGGCACAGGAAGTCCTCGTTAGGCTGCAGGATGCCGCACTTGGTGGCAATGGCACGCGCGGTGTTGATGTTGTCGCCTGTTACCATGCGGACTGTGATTCCTGCTCTCTGGCACTTGGTGATGGCCTCAGGCACCTGGCAGAAGAAAGGGTACAGGAGTCTGAAGCACTGCACCCGCTAAACTTTCATGACACCAGTTGTGTTTACGTCTAAATAAGGAAATGACATGCTCCAGATATTCACACTGTCTGCTTTCCAAGATATTGGCATATCTAGCTCATTAACAGCTTAAACTTAAGGTTAACATTTTGGATTCTTTTTAAAAGGGCCCCAAGACTCAAAATGCTCTTTGAGGGCCAGCAGGTTATTCATGAAGCCTGAAATTGTTCATTTTTGTTAACGATTACCAACCCTTTCACACATCTACTGTAGAAAAAACCTGCCTTATGAGCATATAGTAATAACTTAAAATTGACAAAAGATTTCTTTGCTTATTAGGATTACCCTGCTTATAATTGCAAACAAAGCATAAGAGTCAAATTAATAACACTGCTTAAAAGATTTGCATTATCCTTTCACTGCTTGTCACTTTTCACAGCCATCAGGTGCACAACCTATACATAGAAACACTCATTTTCATTACAAAGAAAACAAAAAGACTGGCTGTTCAATGTGAATGCTTCCAGTATATTTTAAGCAGGCACTTTAAAATGTTCCTGAAGATGTCCTTCCAGATACCCACTGAAAATAACTCATTTGCAAATGTATATATATAAAAAAGTTCAGGCTGTAAAAAAAGAATCTGCATTATCACTCCCGGGAAGCAACTCTAGGGGTGCAGCTCGCCCTCCAACCCCCCCGCTGTTTGGGTTATTTCAGATCTCAGCATGAGCTCTTCCCAGCCCTGTGCACAGCCAGCTGCAGCCCGGCGAGACACCCTGATCCACTGGGGAGCAGGAGGGAACTTGCAGCAGATTTCTGTGTAATTATCCGCATTCGGGTCCTGCTATGAATCACCCCCTACCACTCATTAAGCCCAATCAGATAATTTATTTATAATTAGAAACCTCCCAGCACACAGCAGACAGACAGAAGGAGACACATTTGCATACGACACTATCGACACCAGAGAACAAAATAATGACTTTTATAGACCACTAATGACTAAAGAGCACCTCATTTCGCATATTGTCACAATCCCACAAGGTCTGGGCTCCATGACCTGCACTTTCCTTCTTTAACTGATCTTGGCAGCTCCATACACGTGCTAACTGTGCAACAGATTGGCAACTAAACAATGTTTCCTCCTTGGCCCATGGCACAACAAAAGCCCCTTCTATCCAGTTATCAGTAACTTTAATCGACTTTTACTATACGTAGGCAGTGATGAGAGAATGGACTTAAAATTGATGCTGCATAAATGAAGCATACAAAAACTCAGATGCATTGATTTTAATTTCTTCTACTTCCATTGGGAAATATTTCACAAAACCACCAGAGACACAACGAGGCAACATTTCCAGCACTGCCTGAACTTTCAATATCCATGATGTATGCTCTCTCCCGGCTCGTTGCCACTCGCTTTGTCAGAGCATTTCTCAAAATCAGAACGCTCCCTCTGGGGCCAGAGGTCTGTATTTACCTCTGGTCGGACAGGATCCTCGATGCCCACGACGGCGATGCACGTCAGATCGGACAGGATCTCGTTCTCGTTGTCCCAGTCGGGCTCCGGCTCCGCGGGGAAATCCCGCATGGCCAGGCAGATGGTGCGCAGCCCGTCGCAGGCCATGGGCTCGATCACCTTCCTCACCATCTCGTCGCGGTCTTTGGGCTTGAAAACCCGAGCCTCTCCATTCGCATCCAGGAGCTGCGAACATCTGCGCAGGGAAAACAAGCAGAAACGAAGTTGCTGGATACAACCACGGTCCCAAACTAAGGAGCAAAGGCATGTGGACTTGCCTGCCATCAAAACAGAGAAGCTAACATACAAATATGAGGAAACTTGACTATAAGAGGCTAATCATTTTGGGGTAATATTTAAGATTTGGTGCTGCTCATCTATCCTTATATATACAAAGATAGGATTAAATGGTGCAAAACCATTCCATTCCAGATCAGTATTAAGTGTTGGCAGATGTAATTTAATATATATTTCAAAATTTTAGCTTTCAGTTGAATAATATTTTATAAAGCCTGTTCTCAAGTACAACAGAAGAATAAACTGTAGAGCAGATGGCAAGTACAAATCAATGCCATTATTTTGCTGCCCCAACAGATCATAGCTGCAGTACAATTCAAAGCAGTTTTCAAAAAAATGTAACGCAAAGCATCTTTCAGTAATTTGTCCGATTCTAATAATGATGAGATGGGACAGTGAATAAAAAGTGAGTATACACATATTTAACATTTGACTGTTTGCCATAAATTCCCCTGGCAGAAGAAATGACAGCCCCATGTCAAGTCTGTGAAAACCCTCCTCACTTGTGAGGAATGAGACGGGGAGGCAGCTGCAAGGATAAAGATGGGGAGGAGAGAGGGGTGACAGAAAGGGGGCTCAGAGGGAGAGTATTTGTGAGTAAAACAGCAGAAGTGCAAGATTACAAGCTCCTCCTGAGCTTCTGATTAACAACTCCATTAGGAGTTTCCAAGGTTAAGCTTAACGCAAGTAGAAACTGCAGAACCAGAACATAAGAACAGGGAAACCTATGGTAATCAGACATTTGAGAATGTAGAAGAGAATAAAATTAAAAAGGACCCTACCAGAAATTTTGTCCACACTTAAGTGTCCACAATATCTTAATATTTCCCCTCAGAATATTAAGAAAAATATCTATATATACACACAAAACACGCATCACACTGCCTAATTCCTATACAAGTACCATGTTCTTACAAGTGTTAAGATGTTGCTTGCTACATTAACAGTGTCTTTTTCAAATTGATCCCCTAACCTGAAGTGTTATCTACAAGCAGACAGACAACGCACTGTCTTCAGCACTCTGGTCTGTATCTTCCATCAGTTAGCATTATGACAGTTACACCAGGCTCTTAGATTTAAATTGCATCCAAAGAAAAGCTCCAAAACAGGTGAAGTAGCAAACCTAGGGCAGCTGTAGAAAGAGATAGAGGCTCCTGGCAACAAGCGTCTTATGATTATCACTGGCACATTTAGCCTCCATATTAGGTCTACGGGGAGTGATATACACAGCTGGCATAATGAGGAAAACATACATTTACATCCACAGACAATTCTTTTTTTTTTTAATGGTTCAAATTAGGGGAACTAAAGCCACCCCTTTTCCAGAACGTTGTCTCCGCCCCAAAACCAAACGCACAAACTGAGCAAGTATCTCAAATGTGATGACCTAGAAGCCCACATTCTGGCTATGTCATGCAAAGAGACCTCCTCATGTGAAAAATGAGGTGCAGGACTCATTAAGGGGTCTCAATATAGAGCAGCTGTCTGGAAGAATGGCGATCGAGAAGAGGAGCCCTTACTTGCGCAGGACGATCTCCGAGGCCCCCTTGCTGTACATGCGGTATCCAGACCCGTCGGGATTCTTCAGCACCGTGCTCATACTCTTGCGCACGGAGTTGAAGGTGTAGACCTTGTAGAGCTTCTCCTCCGGCACCTCGTCCCTCACCTGCTGGTAGTTTTTCTTCAGCTCCAGCACCAGGCCCAGGAGGGAGCACTCCGTCTTGTTCCCCACGTGGCGGGGTAGCCCCCCTTCCTTCTCTGGAGGCTGTGGGGAAGAAACGGTACATCCGCGATGGAACCGGATGGGTCCAGAGCCTTCAGGTTGCTGAGGTCACAGGAGGTTGATCTTGCTGCTTAACACTTGTTAAAAATTCTCAAAGGAGAACATCGCCCAGGCACCTGAGATTTTATCAAGGCAATTGGTAATGATGTTCAACATGGCTTATTTAACGTAAGTAAGAGGATTTAAAAAAAGGTGGAAGTGAACTGTTGAAGCATTAATGCTTAAGTTCCAACCTTGAATTGCTGTTTTGCTCATAACACTTAAATTAATCTGTCAGGCTTCACTAAAGTGATACTCTCAAAGAGCATAATGCAGTTATAATATTGCAGTTTTATAGCAGCAAGTACTGTAGCTACTGAGCCATTCTTTGTTGAGTTAGTCCATAAAAAGGTAATGAGAAAAAAACAGCTTAAAACTGCTCTTTTTATGGCATATATGCCATATATATATATATGTATGTATATGCCAAATATATTGGTTCTGGAGACCCAATATAATTTAATACTCAAGCAACTTGTAAAGATGTAGAACAGTTTACTATGGAAGCAGGCCATTATTGAAGTGATTTTGAAAGCCTTTAGACACAGGAAAATGGGCTTCAGGGAGCTGAGCTATAACCAATTTCTGGAACAAAAACCATGACTCAGTGGGACCAGGGTGGAAAGCCTGAAAGGTCCTTCGAGGAACTGAGAGAAGAGGGGGTTCTGAGAAGGAGAGGTGGCCGTGCATTAGTGCACACCACTCACCAAAATCTTGGAGGTGTAGGCCGAGTTGACAGCAATGCTGGTGACGATGAGCTCCAGTGTCTCAGGCCGCAGGGCATCTGGATCGGGAATCTGGCGGTAGTGTGTGTCGCCAAGATACGCCTGCACCACTGTCATACGGTTCATGGTCAGTGTGCCAGTCTTGTCCGAACAGATGGCCGTGGCATTGCCCATTGTCTCGCAGGCATCCAGGTGGCGCACCAGATTATTATCCTTCATCATTTTCTGGAATGCAAAAAGTACAAATTGAGCATTGTTCTGTATTATTGCCTTTCAGCATGGAATCTGTAAAACCTGTGTGTGTATATATATATATGGTTTTAAACCAGGATGTGTATTCCTCAAATGTAGATTTGTATTGCTCAGTGCAGGCAGTGTATTGCTTAGACAAGCACCAAACATGTCACATCAGAAGACTAGCCTTTTTTCCAAGGGGAGTTTAAGATCCCTTTTACACTATCTCATGTAGTGTAAAAGTGCATTACAAAGGCAGTGGTTTCACACTAGCAAATAATCACATCGTGCCATACATAAAGCTCTGAAGCTCCACCAATGCAACTTTTCAGAACCTGGCTTGGGGCTGTGGGTGCAGTTATTGAATGATGTCATTACATTTGTTGTTGTCTTAAGGGTTTTGCAGATAATTATCAAGGAGAGCAGGATTCCAGCAAATGAAAAATAAACTGCAGCCATGGGCCAATGACAAAGTACAAGCACTTGTAACACTGTGGATAGATCCATCCATGCAGAACTGAAGTCAAGAAAGCGAAACAAAAAAAAAGGTGGTCAGCACGTAAAACACAAATATACAAAAAAAACTATCCACAAAACATTTTCCACTGTCTTGTATTACATCGCCAACATTCAACTTGCTCTTGAAGCTTGGTTTACCTTTCTAAAGTAAAAACAGCTCCAGTGATCCATGCTGCACCAAGCTGGCACAGACCCAGCCGGCTAGTAATAAGTATAAACAGCATCGAACGTCCTAGCAGAGTGGTGTCACTGTCACAGCTTCATCTTATGCTACGAGACCTGCTACAATTGTAATGCTCATTTTGGTTTTTAACATTTTCTCTAAAGTGACTTGCAAACACTAGGGGGCGTATTATTAATCAAAACAGTTGAAGTGTTTTACCATCTGTCTTAGGAAAGCGGCTTATTCCTGGAAAGAGTACAAACCACCTGTAGCCTATTCTAGAAGCACTCAGCACAAGGCAGGACGACTCCTTGGACAGGACTCCAGTTCACTGTCAGACGCACTCTTAAGAATAACACATAGTCCTCAATTTACCTAGGCAGCATATCTTTGGAGGGTAGGAGGAAGAGGAGCACTCAGAGGAACATGAAATGAACTAAGACAGAACACGCAAACGCCCAAGGCCTCAGTTCCAGCCGCCACCACCCCCTGCCCTTCTTATATTACTTAGATTCTCTAGGATACACAAGCAGTTCCGGTTTGGGATCAGAAACGCTACATCTTGAGGTAAAATGCACCTGAGGCAGGGATAAACACCAAACCAAGAAAAGTCTTCTCTTAGACACTATGAAAATAAAAACCTCAGTCACTGAGAACAAAAGAAGCGAACTCTGTCCGATAAAAGATGAGCTCACGGAGGAGGACAATTTAGCTCTTATTTATGCTTTACATAAACAGCTGTATGCAAAAGTTTTGGCACCCCTAGCCAAACGACATTTTGATGAATTTCTAAGGGAAAAGAAGTTAACAACCTCTGGAGCGAATAAACAAACTTGACATGTTCCTGCATATTTTGCTACAGACATTTAATAAAACCCTCAGGTCTCTCCTACACCCGCTGTATATTACAGGTAGTCTTTTAAACAGTTCGGAAAACACTTCTGAACTCCCAGCTCGGTCCTAGCCCACGCTGGCACCCCTGGCGGCCCCTTCGGCGGCGTATTTACCTTGACAGAGTACGCCAGCGAGATGGTGACAGCCAGAGGCAGCCCTTCGGGCACTGCCACCACCAGCACGGTCACGCCAATGATGAAGAACTTGACAAAGTACTGGATGTAGATGGGGGTACATTCCTTCAGCCAGGGGCGCCCCTGAACCCCAAAGGTGTCGATGACAAAGTAGAGGATGAGAATGACGACCGTCACCGCAGACATGATCAGACCTGAGCAGCAACAATTAAAGTAACAAGTCAAGTCTGGGCCTGGCTGCACAGATCTCTTTAAGCGTTACTCTACTTAAACATTAAATATGTCTCTTTCAAGGCTGAACTACTGCAATGCTCTTTTGGCCACAATCCCAGATATGATCAAAGGCAAATCTTTAGATGGCTCAAGGTTCTGCTGCTAGAGTTCTACGTTCTGAAACACACAAGCCTAAATCTGTATGATCTTCACTGGCTCCCTGAGCCCCAAAAAAACAATTATAAAAAATTCTGATAAAGTTCATAGAAGTGCAGGGTCTTGCTTCTAGTCATCTTTCACAATTCACACAGTGGCATTCTCCCAAATCAGCCCAGTGATGAGCCACCAAAAACAATGTGGGACTTAAGGGACTTGAACAGAGAAGACTGTGAGGGGGCTAAATACTGTACAAGCATTAAAAAACCTTCAAGGGCTTTGACAAAGTCAAGGCTGTGGATTTCTTCAGAATAAACAGTGAAAGATGAATCATAGGGCAAATGGAAACTGTGTGGAAGTGCATTTAAAATTGAACACGGGAGGCACTATTTTACCAAAAGAGCTGTGGGAGTACAGAACAAGCTTCCCAGCCATGTTGTTGAAGCCGATACTCTTGCGGCTTTCAAAACAACGGCTGGGCGAGATCCTTGGATTAATCAGATTATAACTACCAAACGGGCTAGATGGGCTGAATGTCCTTCTCTGGGCTGTAACTGTTTTGTATTCTTACATTTCAGTCTAAATGGTACGCTAAGCAGAAACGGCCCTTGTACTTTTTACAGGAACATCACCTTTCGACACCTGCCATTTTATACATTTGACCCCCCTCCCCCTCCGAAGAAGTGGAACTCCTTGCCATGACATATTACCAACCTGTTGACTTTGAGCAAAAAACAAAATTAGGTGTTTGTTAAATTCAGGCATTCAATTAAAATATTATTTGTATAGGAGACCCCTGATAATTTTAGGTTGATGGTGACTATCCCACTCTCTCCGTTCTTATCTGCTCAGCAGCTCATGGTCTGCTCAGCAAACACGTGAGCCGTGGGACACACAAAGGATTCCTATATTCACAACATAACACAAATTGATTAACTGCCTTGGCTTCAGTCGGCACATGGCTGACTGTACAGCATAATTCACATGTTCCACAGTTAGGATAGTTACATACTGTATAAAGTAGGACGTGAATCTGATACTTATTTAATATGTTTATGCTGGGCTATTTTAGATGCTTTTTCCTCTCCATGCTTTAATACCTGAATTATTTTATTCCAAGACACTCTTCTTTATTATTGAGTGCTCCAGTGTGGCAGATTTATTGCAGGTTAACTAAATACCAAAGGCTTTATTACAAGGGACCCACAAATGACAGGCCCTGAAACTTTCACTTTACAACTATTCATTTCTGAGCTTTAGGTTTGGTGTGTAGGTGTTGTAAGGCACTGGTGGAGCCCAGTGCTGTGGCATTCACTTTAGCTTACTGCCTTCGGGGAGGGCTTCCAGCCCATCGATGCCCTCTTGTTGACCCTTTACCTGCTTTGCCTATCTGCACAGCCAGCCTGGTGAGCTTGCCCTGCAGGACCGATTTCTCTTTCTTGGTCACGTTCACTTTCTTCACCTCCTTCTCTTCACTCTCCACACATTCCTCGCTCTTCAGGGGCTGGATCTCCAGGGCAACCCCGTCCTGGGTTTTCGCTGCGAGCAGGCACGGGGGGTGGCGGGAGGAGTCGCAGGAGACAGAGGTTGAGAGAGTAGAGAAGGAGAGGACGGTGGTGGGGGACAGGTGGAAAAAATGAAAGGGAAAGAAACCTCAGTGAATTCAGTCACAGCGGATGAAGGCGGGCATCAAGAGTGGCCGTAATCAGACCGGTTTCTTGAGCAGGCTGCTGCTGCAGTAATAGAGCCTGAGAACCTGCTTTTCCTTGGTGTAATCTCACCAAGGCACCATTCTTCCGTATTTTAATGGACTGCCGTAAATCCAGCTGGCTCAGTAGCTTGCATTTTATAGACCAGTATTACACGCATATAGATATTAACAGATTTCAGATTGTTTGTGAAATGATGTAGGCTGCAGATTAAAATATCCTTTCAAATACAACGCTTATTTGTCTGTAACTCAGAAAACCTGAACAGGCAAAAAAAACTAACAGCTCTCAACCACTGTGCCTTTGCAATGTTACTAGTACACTCCTGAAACCAATCAAATTCTATTTGCATTTATTTCAGCACAGGAGCTGGTAACCTCACATCTTAAAAAGGGTGAATTTTGACGCTACAGGTACAGTGCTTGGTCTTGCAAACAATTCTAAAAACAAAAACAAAGCCTCATCTCCAGAGACCCACCTTTTTAGCACTATATTATATTTATGTTAATAAGCAATGTGGGGGGGAGGGGGGCGGGGGACTTGGAGGAAAAGAAGTTTAGAATAGATGATAAAACTCTTCATCTTCCCTGAAGACAAACTTTCAGGTGTCTGATACAATGGGATAGGCTGTTTTATCCTCTTCTTCTAGCCCTCTCTCTGCAGAGAGATTTCATAGGATCAAAAGATGTTATTCGGGTGTAAACATAAAGCAAAGGCAACAACTCCTTTTTTGGTTTCAAAGTTAAATGCCATAGTTTCCATCAAGGACCTGACAAAATGCAGTTTCACTTTCAGCAGACTGAGTGGAGCAGCCTAAGCCCAGCAGCTCATTTTGTTTAGCCTGGCAGGGCTTTCTAAAAAGGAAGTGTGGAACTGTTTGATTATTAAAATGTCTTGCTTTTGTGGCTTTAGAAGTCCTTGTTTAAGCTTGAGTTCCATTATCACTGCTTTTTTTTGCATTTTCATATTAATCATCAGCTCACTGTGACCGGACTCTGATTCAGTCTCCCAGCAGGAAGATAGCAGCCAACTGCTCTTATATGTCCTTGTACCCTCAAAGAAGAGCAATTTTCCATTCTTCCCCAACAAGAGAAAGTTTCCCAAGGCTTTCGTTCAAACCATGAAATCTCTGCAATTTATTTGGTACCAGTAAAGGTTTTCCTGTTAAAAGCTGAAGTAGCTAAAATGAAGCAAGGAATGTCATAGACGTCCTTCCCTATTTCATCTCTTTTTATTTAGATCGGCATCTTCAATGCGCTTCTTAAAGAAAGCGTGAAACACCAGAACCCGGAGCAGTTTCTCACATCTTACAAAACTGTTTCTGAGTATGAATAAGAATAAATTACTTTGATAGTTAACACACAGGTTTCGCCAAGCTGCAGATCTTCTAGAAAAAAGTAAGGGAGAGGTAAGATATCTTTTGACTATATTCACCCAGGAAGAAATCATTTTGGGTCCCTTAGTTTAAGTATTCAATAAAATTCAAATACAGAAATCTGTACCACTGGCGTCAGTGTTGCTGAAGGAGGTTTAAGCAAAACCTACTCTTGAAATTCTTTGAAAGCCTTTCTTCTGTTTGCAGATAGCTGTGACCACGCTTTTAAAGCTAAAAGAGAAACGAACAGGAATTTTCCCTCAGAGCTCAGAGACAGCCCCCTATTTGAAGGTACCCTGTAAGGGGGCTCTGGTCTCTGTACCAAACTTGTCCACCGCAACACAGACCCGACTAAAAGGACAAGATGGACAGACAGTGACACACTGACGCACGCACGCACGGACGGACAGGAGGGGCGAGTGTGTCACAGGCTGAACGACAGAAGCAAAAGAAAAAAAGAGCTGAAACTGTCCAGAAGATAAAACAGCGCAAGAGCGTCAAACAGAGACGGGATACAAGACAGCATGGGGTCCTGAGCACATCCCTGGAAAGAGGCAACATGGTGGGTGGAACAAACAGTTCAAAAGCCCACAAAATCTGAAAGAGTGCAACTCTCAGTACCCGGTTTCTCCAGCAAGCTGGACCAACCCGTATCCACAGCTCAGCTGTTCCACTGCCTTTAGAGACATACAAAGTGCCAGGCAGTCGTCCTAACGTAGCTGAATGGAGTTGGATTTTACATAAACTACTAGACAGTTTCAGAACACTTCGGGAACCCCTGTTTGTAGCCTAGACAGCTACCTTGCTGTCAGAATAAAAGTAGCCAACAATGTTAGTAGTACAGGTGCATATACCACTAACTTAAATTAAATGCTTTCAAATGGAAGTAAACTCCTCTTCTGAGCTTCAGAAGAGGAATAAGTCCGACAGAACCGTAAAAATGTATTAACATCTCAGAAACGCCCAGGCTACAGTGTGCAGCAAAATGGCCGAGATCTTTGCATGTTTTCTCTACGCTCTTCTGCCTGAGCCTTCATCATCGCTAATAAAAGATTGTGTCTTTGCAATAACCTGTTTGTGGTCAAGACAGAAAAATAAGAGCTATTTAATAAGGAAATTGTATCGCAAGTTGCAGGCCCTTGTGACACGGCATTCTTTCAGTATGCAAGCAGTCACAGCTGAGCCAATGCAGCAATGAGCAGGACAGATCTTTGAAGACAGAGTAAACTGAGGGAGGGCACAGGCTGAAGCAACTTGCACTCCTGCTGGCTCACGTACCATGTAAACGTCTGCCGACATCCAGGGCTGGAATGAATATCTTGACCGTCACCAGCTAAAACTGGTGCTTAAGAATAACATTTGTATAAGATGCACAACACTAGTTTCAGTGTTGATCCTTGCAATGTTGTCTCCCTGGAGTGCCTTGAGATTCATGAATAGTGTTGGGCAAAACAATTGCAATACAAATTTTAATTTTTCAAATTAAGTCATAACAGACAATAATATGAATATTCAAATATAGAACTCAAATATTTTCTTTTTAAAATCCAGCGTTTTTTGTGGCATTAGACCATTTGGATTCCGGTACAGCTTTGATACTGTGAAACTGTGATACTATACTTCCTGTCACTGGATTAAATTGGTTTTAAAGTCCTAGTTACTCTGGGTGTTCACAGGATTCTGTGCTGTGAACTTTACTATTTAACATAATAAAAAGTCATAGACCAGATAGAAGACATCATTTAGTCCCATTTTAGAAACACCACAAGGGGATTTTTTGCCATCTACATAAAATTATCAAATAAAATTCCCTGCAGCATTATTTAATCAAGATTATACTGCTGTAACACCTTAGTTATTAGGGTGCCTACTAGGCTTCAGTATCTTCAAAATTCTGAAGCTACTGAGCGAACTACATCTGCTCTGTCACAACAGATAACTCCTGTCCTGTGTGAACTGCACTGGCTGCCTGTAAAAATCAAAGGGGGGATTAAGGCTCTCCTGCTCAAAGGTAAGGCATCACACGGTCCATCTCCAGGTAAAGCACTTACTGTATGAATACAGTCCAACACTAAATCCTAGGTCTGCCGTTCAGGTCTTCTTTTTGTAGCCAGATCAGGCTTCATACATCTGGAGGAGTCTCTTCTGAGCAGTTCTACAATACCTGATTGCAACTCACTGCCTACATTTATCACTGGCTCTGCGTTCAACTTAAAGATCTAGCTTTTTACTACAGATTTTAATATAGAATTATTTACTTGTGGTTTTACTCTGTCATTTTACTGTGAATTATTTTCCTTCATATTTATTTGAGTCTTCTAAAAACTGCTTACAAGAAACATAGTAATCTGTGGACTAAAAAGCTGATTTAATAAAGTAAACAGTTGTATGTTTCAACATTTACTAAATGTTTCAACATTTACTAAAATTAAAATTGAGACACAAATGTATTTCTAAATATACAATGTTCAAACGTATCGTGCCAAGTAAGTTGAAGTAAAAACTTTAACTCTTCAATGTTTTTCAATTTTCTAATATTTTAATAAAGCCTCAGAGTTTACTGAGGCTTCTGGAAGTCACCTTGATTGTTCCTGGTGGATGGAGGACGAATATACAGGAAAAACCCTTACAGTAAATCATCACGACGGAAACGTCATATTGGCAAAAAATCATTGATCTTAATTCCAGTGGCAGCTATTTAAAAATCTTATTTTTTGACTGCGGTAAGTAAGCTCACAGTTATTATCCCACCATAAAAGGGATATAAGAAAGCTGTGCTGACAGAGAATTGATTTGGGAGACTGACTTATATACAGTACAAGGGCAACAATTCGGAATCTGAGAAAACACTGGCATCATTAGGATACACTGTCCAGGACAACCAGTCAAGGTTGAAATCTTGAATCTGATGTCTGTGGCAGAGTTGCACCACAATGTGAAAAAAAAACATGAATTTGCCGAACTGCAACAAATTAATATCCAAGTCAAATGGGGTCACGTTTTTGGGTGAAACAAAAACTGAGTTTCTTGACAGTCTCACCAGCAGTATGATTAGCACAAAGGCGAAGCTCATGTTGACAAAAGAATATCATGGTTTTTCCTCCTTGTCCTAGCATTAGAACCGAGGGGAAGAGGTTCCTCAGCTAAAAAGGGTATTGCAGTCAAAAACCTCTGCTTGGGTATATGAATAATGAATTGCGATATATGATAGCACTGAATTAAAGTCAATTGTTTTATGACTTACAATTGCAACAAGATAACAAAAAGCCTGCATCAAATTAAATGACCCCATGATTAAGAAAGGATACTGTCACACACAGAAGCCACACGAGTCTGGAAGAGCTAAAGACAATCTGTGAGGAACGGCCAAATATTTCTCTGGAGACGTTTAAGAATGTATGTACCTAATCAAAACATGCTCTTGAGCTTATCATAGCTGAAGCAAGGCGCACAGGATACTGGCTGCCAGACTATGAATACATCTGAATTATAATTAGACAGGGGCACCACTTTGTTGTGGTTATTTTTCCTTCTATATAAATTATAGGCCAGTTTCCCCAACACCATCCGAGTCTGCCTAAATGCAATAGTTCACAAAAGAAATAAAACTCCATGAAACCAACAATTAAACCGGCCTCTGCAAAACAAATTCTTTCCAGGTAGGTGAGAGTTGCACCCTTTCGCAGGACAGCCAGGTGAAAACGTCCCAAGGCTTTGCAGAAAAAAGCGACAGCGTGACGAAACGGAGAGAAAGAAAGAGTGAGACTGAGACATGACTCCGAAACTGCTGCTGAATGGGGAGGGAGGGGATCGGGAAGGAGGGTTACCTTTGTTGCGATTTTCAGGGGCTCCTTGTTTTTTACCTGTTCAAACAGAGAAAGAGGGTGGAGCGCTGATCACATGACTTTCAAAAAAAATTAAAGGAAAAAATTCAAATAAGCCAACAAAACAAGGTTCACAAGGCACATGAAATACCAGATAGGGAGGTGCCATCGCCTGCGTGGGAAAAGCCTAGCCTTGCTCCTTAAACAGATAATACAATGTTTTGGACTCTGGTTGAAATATTTTGATGAAACACGGGATCTCCAAAAAGCCTATGTGCGTATCTACAATGAACTGAATGGTTTGGAAACATGGAGTCTTTCGAGGAAACATGCATGAGAAAATGACTCTATAATATAGAGCACATCTCAAACGGCTGATTGCAGCCCAGAAAAACAAGGATTTTATTTACCAGTGAGTTGTAAATTGAAGGTGTGGCTGCAGCCTTTCTTTAACTGGGTTTTCAAATTACAGCCCAAGCCTTTCTATCCCCCCAAATATCATTATTACCATTTATTTTTCCTAGCCTAATGATTACATCTATATAAAGCTCTCTGCTCCAGCACTATGGTTTGGCTCCATCTTTTCCTGTGGAAATGGCACTTACGAAAGCAAAGCAAAACAGAACAGAAATGGGTAAAGTGTGATTCAGAGTTACTCGCTACGTGGTGTTACTTTACGGTCAACTGGAACACAATCCCGCTGAACCACTGTTTAAGAAGCTGAGCCAGGTTAGGGGATGGTAGTGGTGTGTTGAACGGGAGGAGGGAAAGGGATGTTTACAAGCAAAGGCACATGACCTTATCTAAGAAGCGCAATTTTAATGACGGCTAAACTCATGATGTGCCTCAAGCAAAATGTTTGAATGTAGTCTTTTGGAAAAATGCTCTGACACTCTGAAGGAGAGACTGAAGCTACAGTGTAGGGGGACATTCTTTTCATGAAGTTGATAAACCTTTAAAACTTTACTGTTATTACCCTTTTTAAGCAACATTCTTGCTGCTTAATGGAATAGAGGTGCTTTAGTAAGGGAGATTTTTTTACAGTCCTATTTAATTGGAGAGATAGACCTTTAGGCACAGGAGAAGGTTATAATTCACTCACACCAAACATAGGCAATGAAATAAAAGATGTTCGAAAGACAATTAGAAATTAGATTTAGGTGTTATGAAAGCCTAGCATTCAGCCATATTAAAACAGGCTAGACTTTGGTGACCATGTATCCTAAACCTGTCATGCATTCGTCATTCATACATCAAATTTCAATTCCCACTACACAATAAGGGTGAAAAAACCATAAAATACATAAAACAAACATAAGTTTATATAGATCCCTACAATTGGTTAATGATTGTTCTGAGATTTAAGGTTTCATTGAAAATCATTACAGGTAGATTCATTCAAACCTTCACAAACTGAAAATAAAGCAATTCCTGCTTTTTCCTAACTTTCCCAGAATTGGCACTAAATCTAACCCTTTGCTCGAGCTTGAGAAGCTCACCAATTGGTTTACAGTGTATATCTTGTAGTGTGTACCGGGACTCTGTGTTGCATGTTATTTTTGTTCTTTTGCATGCTCTTATATACAGTATGTTTTAAGTATTGTCCAAAAGTTCTTGTTTATTCTCACAAAATCAGGACATAAAATCAAACTTCAAAGAACAGCAATATGTCATTCCACTCGGGGGACTGAGCCCTTTGGCGTTGTTTCTTCATAACATCTTGCAAAACGGACTAGGTGCAGCAGATCCAACACAGGCAATCATCCCATCCACATTACAAAGGCCAGGGTTGGGAGCAGGTGATCAAAACTAGCTGCCATGCACACATGCATGTTTTGCTTTGCCATTGGACCTTTTAATCAGCATGATATACAAAAGGTCCAGATGGGCAAAAACTGAAGTAATTTGGGGGACAAAATAGTGAAAAACCTTTGGGACTAGATTATGATGAATTGTTAGATCTATGAATGAATGAAAGAAAGATGAAAGAAAGACAGACCGATCGATTGATCCAGTCGAATTAGATTTGCTTCCATTATTTCTGCTTACCTTTCTTCACCTTCTTCTCCTCCTCCTCTCCACCTGCTCCCAGCAGGGTGAAAATGATTCCAGTTTGAGAATTCAAGCCCACCGCAGTGACCACCATGCGTCCTGAACCCTCCATCACATGAGTGCCTGCGAGTCGAAAACAGAGGCCAGCCATCCATGAGCCACGTGTAGCTTAATGACAGATATTACTAGGCAAAATACTAGGCAGTAAAGATGACAACAGCAAACAGAAAAAAGAATGACAGCTTTGATCTAAAAACCAGGCATTCGTACCAGACAGCAGCATGGGGTCTTTCTCCAGCGACTTCTTGACGTGGTCAGACTCCCCCGTCAGCGAGCTTTCGTCTATCTTCAGATCGTTACCTTGGATCAGGATGCCATCAGCAGGCAAAAGGTCCCCTGCAGGATGGCATAAAGCAGATTTTCTGTGACATCTCAGAAAACACAGCCACCTTATAATTGTAATCTTAGCCTTGATAAGGCCCTCCTGTCCATTCTTCTATGTGCAATTAACACTAGACAAGTCGGGGCACATTTTAGATCTTAAAGACCAGCATTTTCTCTACATATAAAAGTACAATTTGCCTTGTAAAGTCTCAATAATCCTCAAGTCACCTGTATTTTAAGAACGAATGAGGTTGTGACGACATCTTCTAAAATCTGGTCTTTATATAGGAAGACCTGGACACAACGCACAAAGCCACCCAACAGCCTTGCAAACGTGATACACACCATATTTGATCTGGGCGATGTCTCCGACCACAATCTCGGCCACGGGAATCTGGATAACCTGACCCTTGCGGATGACGGTGAACTTCTGCTCTTGCTCGATGCGGCTCTGAAGCCCTCGGAATTGCTTCTCCTTGCTCCAGTCGTTGAACGCCGTCACCAGGACAACGATGATGACAGAGAACAAGATGGCCGCACCCTCAATCCACCCGGCTTGGGCCTCACCTTCATCTTCCGCCCCTCCTGCCACCTGGCCACACACTGCCGACAGCACAGCACAAGACCCCTTAAGCACACCACAGGTGGAACAGTCCCACAAGACACTCCATGTGGTAAAAGATTTCCCCACGTTTCATCTGAATAACAAAATGCAGGCAAAACATGCTATGAAGGTATTCCTTTTCACTTCCTAAACAGAGCCAACGTAGGGAATGGCTAAATTATACAATGGTAAGAATATCTGCATCTTCTGCAGGTCTGAGCCAAGAGACTCAGACATGACTTAACTATTGAGTCACAGACACATATTGGGAAAGGTTATCCTAGAGTACCCCATTTCTTCAATCTTTTAATGTAGACCATTTTTTTAAGTGACTAAAATCAATTTAATTGGCTCAAATAAGTCATCAGAAATGTTTTTCAGAAGACCTGGGCTTGCCAGGAAAAGGTTTGGAGATGTCAGATGCACGCCAGGTGGTTGGGATTTTGGGCGAAATCTTGCAAGTAAGACCAAGATGCACCTTCAACCATCTCGCCAGACACTTACGTTCACTGTCGCCCCCTGGGGGGTGGTAGAAGGACAGTCCAAGCGAGATAATGGCAGCCACTTCCAGGATGATGAGAGTCACATCCTGCAGAGCCTCCCACACTAACTGCAAGAAGGTCTTGGCTTTCTTCGGGGGAATGAAGTTCTTCCCAAATGCCTGGTGCCGTTTCTCCAGGTCCACGGGATTACCCGAGAGGCCTTGGGGACACAAAAGAACATATACTGTAAGCAACCCATAAGATTGAGAGGCGTGGTTTTCATTTACCTCCTGGTAGGAATGTAAAGAAATTACCATTCAAGTTTCTTCTCTACAGCCAGAGTCAAGGCATGCAAAAGGAACAACAAGAACTAAAACAAAGCAGCTCAGAATTTAAAAATTCTCAATTTGGGAGAGTTCAATCCCAGTCCTCAGGGACTGTGCACCACTGTCTAGCAGGGCTTGTACAACTCTCTAAGTCTCCTGCTTCTCAATTATAAGGAAAGGCTTCAATGTGTCCAATTAAGCAATTAATGAATTAATGTGGGCAATTAAGGGGTCAGGTGAAAAGAAAAAACAAAAACCCTCAGGACGGGAGTTGTGCTGTCTCTTTTTAGATAGACTCTATGAGATATACTGTCTAATTCAGGAAGTCAAATTCTGCACTGCTCCAACCATGTTATCAATTGCATTATCTAACCATTAGATAATTTATCTAATTACATAATCTTAACAGTTCAAACCAGACTCCAATGTGATTGATATGAAACTGTACAGTACCTTTAACAAATACACTTGTCTTGTGTAGTCAAGACCCTCCAGGAACTGAGTCTGAGGCACTTGATTAAATGTTTTTTCAGAATCAAATGGAAAAGCAAATAGTTAAGGAAATCGCCAAGCACACCCTTACTCTAAACCACACATCTCTATGCTCTAGATGAAAAAAGCGCCAGGAGGAATCGCTAACATCTGAAAAAAGACTTCAGTTCAGGCACTTAAATGAAGGTCAACCTTCAGGCAGCAGGTGGTTACAGCATCTGTTGTGCATTAGCTTGTGGGACACCGATGTCCTCAACTGATTTTGTCTCAATCGTGACATACAGTACTAAACACAGTGCATAGATTCTCATGCATTGTGCATAGGAACAGCAATAATTGTTGGAATGCCTTTAACTATCATGGAATCTAAAATGTGCAACACGTCTTTTGATGGAAACAGCCACACATTTCAGACTAGTTCATGCTAGCTAATATCGGTCAGTAATCCATATGACACCATGTGTCCTTAGGCCTAAAATTCAAATATTTTTCCACTTCTAAATTTTCCCAAGCAAGATTTTCTTCTGATTTTCATTTTAAAGAAATGTTTGAGGGAGAAAATACAGGAATATCCACAGACAAATGCTGAAGGATACCTTTATCTGGGCAGCCAGCATAGAGGCATATGAATAAACATTTTAGCACAGCCACTATTAATATCCTGAACAGGAAGAGCACAACAATGGTGACTTGCCTCTTCAACCAGGAGAACATGTAGGAGGGGGAAAACAAAGCAAAAAGTGAATCGAACTTTGTGTTTAATAATTCATTTTTTTTTTGCCCAGAGTAATGTCGTGCATGAAAGCAAGGCAGGCACAGCAGTATCCTCTGCAGAGACAGGCTGGGAAGGCTGTTCTGCAAACAGGCCCACACTGTTATGCCCGCCTGCAGCAGAGTAAGGTTTCTGCATGATACACTGTCACATGTGAGGGGTGAGGGGGTGGGACGACTCAAGGAGATGGCTGCCTTTATCAAGTGCTACTGCCTCCCCACGTCCCCTTCCTTCCTCGTCTCCGCTTGTCAAGTTGTTTTATTTTTCTCAGCTGAAAGTACTGCTGTTATTCCGGGAAGCTGTTTCGCACGCACCACTGTCTAATAAAGCAAACAGCAGGCTCTTGTGGAAAAGGGCCAGGTCTCATTACTGAAAGGAGGGACTGGCAGGGCAGCGCCACTGACCAGACCCGTTGATAGGGGATCAGAGAGATCAGTCCTTTCAGCCAGGTGGACCAAGGATCAAGCCCATTAGCTCTATATAAAGAACTTTAATATTTTAATTTAACAAGATAAAATTTGTAAATAAAAAAACATTAGATCCAGGAGATGTCTTAGCTTATACTGAAGTAGTTTAATGATAATGAGAAGGATAAGTAAAATGGATTAAAATAGTGCCATTAATTAAAGCATTACTTTCTTAGTTAATAAATATTGTATTTTGTATAAAACAGCCTCAACTACGGTTTACACTAGAATCTCCCTACATGCCTCCAAAACAGGTGCACAATGTTGAAAGTAGGTTTAAAAGTGATTACCAACCAGAAGAAATAGTTAGTGGGACTATTGCAGGATGTACAGTAGCATCTGCAGACCACTGTGTCATTCCCAAATCATGTATACAGATGAGAGTGTTTCACAATAACATACCGGAACAAACAGGTCGGAAATAAAGGAAAAAAGACATAAGGATCTGCAGGGGTACCTAGAGCAAAGGGACAATCATGTATGGCAGTCACCAGAGGAACAGCTGTTTCTCAGTGGTACAGTTTGGACACAGCTGGAAACTTGGACGAAATAAAATGATTCATGCAGGCTCCAGTTTCCTCCTCTCTACAAGTGACAATGCTGGTTGGTTAACTGACAGCCCTGAATGGTCTCTGTGCGAGTGTACACATGCCCTGCAATGGACTGACATCCCCCTTCCAGAAGACAGTCCTGCTTTACACTGTGCTTCCAGGACAGAGCCTGGGTAGCCAACACTGGTGAGTGGGTGGATAGAAGATGTACACATGCTGTGACCAGGCTGGGCATGTGAAGGAACATGCAAGAGATAGCACACTACAAACTCTGCAGAACAGAACACTGCCAGCACCTATGCTAGTTCTCAAGATCCCAGTATAGAATTCTGAAAATTCCACTTGGCCCTAACAACTGATTCGACAACGTAGATTCAAATACGGCATATTTTGTCAGACTTCTGACTAAGGTGGACAAAGAAATGCCCTCCCCCCCTTTGATTGCTCGCTTATAATGCTGGGCAGGACTAGATGGCACTTCAAACAGTGATCAGATAGGGAGGAGTAGTTTGCTGCCCCTGCTTTCTGCACATTTGCGACTCTAGTCACCCACCGTTGTCCATCTATAGAGAGACAGCCCCATTTCCAAGTGAAACTTGGGCATGCATGCGATTACAGGGATGGGAAAAACTGTTCAGTTCCACCTGCATGCTTTCCTCAATTCCATTTCTAAAAATAATGAAATATTCAGGGCTTGCACAGTACTTCCCAACAAGCTTCTCAGATACCAGCTCTGCTTCGAGAACAAAAGGGACAAGCAAGTCAAAATGCATTTTTTTTTTATGGTGGCATTCATCCGCTTTCCCTGCAGCGCTTATTTGACGTTAATGGCCTGTTGCAGTGCTTCAGGCTCGGAGACTAAATGATTTGTGAAGCTGAGATACTTTAAGGAGACTGAAGAATCAAAAGCACGAGGACTATGAGAACCAGGACTGAGAGAAAACAACAATAAAGGCCTTTCACGAGAAATCAAGGCTCACAGCTTGTGGGATATTTGTGAAGACGACTGACAGTCACGATGCAGCACTTAGCCACACATTTGTTGCAAAGCTAATATTTAACAAATAGGTCTGCTCAACCTGCACTTCAGATGGGCATACCTGGCTGATTGATTGTATTTGCCCGACTACAATTTAGCATCATCTTTCACCATTTAACAGAGAGAAGCACTGACAAGACACTGGACGTTGAGCTGTTGATCAGAGCCTTGTGGTGAGCCTCTCATGTGGAGAAAATAGTCCTTGCTCACACCTTTGGAGGAGTTAGAGTTAATCTACAAATGGCCCCTAGATGCTGGCACTTGGCAGCTGCTGGCAGGATGATTTTAAATCTGCTTCAATCCTATTTAACAAACTGTGCAGTCCGAGTTAATTGTGATATTAAAAGCACAGGCCCCCTTTTTTGCCGTCTCGCATCTACGTACACATACATACAATTACTCTACTCTAACCTAACAAACGCGAAGCCGAGAACAGATTGTTTCAGCGTTCAGTTCTCCAGCAGGGAGAGAGCCCGCACTGGAGTGTTGAGACACTGCTTCAGTGCTAATGTTCAGGGTGACAGTGTGGGATGACTCGAGATCAGAGGCTTTAAAAGGCACATTATTACACTGACAGCAGCGGAGGGGTGAGAATAAACTATTTCAAAGATCATTAATGAGGTTTCGGCGCTGGGAAGAGAGCCAAAAACAACAGGCTGAAGTTCCTAATAGTATACTATGCTCTATGAACCATTTTGGGGGAAAAAAAAGCTCTCAGCAAATCCTTTTTCATATTAAATTCCCTAATTAAAAATACAGAGTAGCACATCACTACAACATGGGAGAACCTGTTGCGATTTGTTTTTACGTGGTTTCCCTATTAAACGAGGAGACAGTAGCTTGAAGCTAGAGCTAGAAGCTTGAAACAACTGAGAGCTACCTTAAAAAAATCAAATTACACAGACTCCAGCAGGGGAGGGTGAGAGAAAACATGGTTCCACCTTAAAAGGACACACCCACGAGCTGGAGGAGTCACCTTTCCCAGCATGCTCTTTTTTCTTTCCAAACCACCACAGAGGTCTTATGGGTCCTGAACATATGGGCAGCATAAGCACAGACCCTGCTGGAGATATGCCAAGGCTCTAATTCCCTCGGTCAGCTCGTCAGCCAGCCTCACATCACTGAACTGAAACCATGCGACAGCAACTCTTTCCAAGTCTCTACCCACCTCCTGCCACCTCCACCCAAACACACTGTCTACGACAATACAAACACAGGGCACAATGCACACATGTTTGTGTATCATTATTTGCGAGAACTTCCAGCCGGCTTGTTCTATTTTATTCCAAACTTCACACGGGGTGAAATTAGAACTCTAGTACACAGGTTTGCCACTTTCATTTTTTTAGAGGACACCATTTGGATAAAAAAAAAAACAGTGCAACTTGTGAGGAAAAGCTCAGCACCCATTTCTCAGGAGCTCCTATCCGTCGGAGGACGTTCTTGGATTCAGGGCAAACAAATATAGAAATACCTGTGCACACACAGGCAAACACACCCCCTGGGTCTTGCACTCATATGTGATCCATTAAGAAGTTATGCAAGAATGTACATGAACACTGAATTCCATGCT